TTAGGTCAGGTACAATTTGTAGAAAAATATATATCACTATGCAATCGTGGTGAACATGTTCGGCTGAAACATAAGCAACAGCACTGAGAGAGAAAAAGCTACATTAGGTAAAAGATGCAGTTACTGGCCCTATGTCATCTGAAGCTTCTTCAATAGGTCTTTCTTCTTACAAGTTGTGAACAGCCAGGCAATTTTCACCCACTTGCTATTTCCTTCCAGAGCACTTGATCCCCAGAGGGAGTCACAAGCTCGAGAGCTCAATAAGGAATCAAAGTATTTGTGCTCGTTTCAAAGCACAAGCTTTTGAGCCTCAGATTATTGGAGTTTCATTCATAAGCTGCAGGCTTTCAACTTTCAACATTCTCAATTATCTTGCAATTTAGTTCTATAAGTGTTGAATAAGAATTATGTGTAAGAATATTACAGGTATCCACTGAAAGCAACCATGCTTGGGTTTTCAATTTGTGCACAGTAAGTGGTGTTCACGTAATCGTATGTATTAAAGAAAAACTAACCTTGCAGCCAGCCGTTAGGCAGTTTTGTGCGCTCGAAGCTCCCAAGCAGATCGCAGTCCTTCCAGATGAGGCTGCCATGCATGCTTCCACGCCCCATCCGCTGAATGATAACAGTCCCAGCAGTGACATAGGCTTGCATAGTTAGGGAGAACGCGTCCTTTCTATTTTTGTACAGGTGCTCCAAGCAATGATGAGGATTGATGTGCCAGAATGTTCAACCGATGAATCACAGGACCTTAACAAACCAATCTCTGCGATCTGTGAAGAACCAAAAACGAGATATTTAAAAACAATCATTAAAGCACTCACTTCTAATACTTATTTGAGGAAGCTATCACTTCGTTGATGTGACCAAAGTCTGCTATAACCACTTTGAAATAAACTGAAGCCTCATGTAAAATTTACGTACCGCAATATATATGTCCTACTGAAGTATAGTACTAGCACAGTGGTAATCGTCTATAGAACTAATTTTCCAAAATAACATAATTTTTTTAATTGCAACCTGGCTTCTGAAAAATAAATTCACATTAACTTTCCAACTATCAAACGTGGTCAATCGATAGGCCCAACCTCATAATCAAACAAGAGCTCACTTGTATCAAATCACAAAAACTTTTTATGTATTTGCTCCATAATATATGTATGTATATAACAGTAGTAGTATATTTTTCATGCTTCAACTTACCATAGAGAAACATTACATCTGATGGGCTTAAAAACTTGCACACGTTATAGAACTGCGTGAATCATAGTACTGGTGAAATTTAGTTCTGCAAGGTGAACTCACCGATGGCAGCATTTAGTAGCCGTCGGTGTCATGAGGAACCAAGTACGGCCAACAGGCAAAGGGCATCTGCAGACTGGAAGCTGCCAATGACAGCAATGAAGGGCTGGCCAGGCGTGCACGTCCATTGATAAAGTGTAAGAACTGGCCATGACCGGCTGTTGTCAAGGCTCTAGTGCCGTGAAAAACGATGGCCAGACGAATTCGGAAACCTGTAGTTAGGCGATATTGGCCTACAACTTCATCCAAAGCAAGGCACCGGTGAAATATTTGCTTTTTCTGGGGGCCGAAGGGAAGCTGGACGTTCACGGGCTCTCGCTGCCACATAGAACTCTCAAGTTGTTACCGAAAAACGTCTAGGCGCGCTTCCAAAGTAACACGATCCACAACAGAATGTAGCATCTCGCAGTTTTGGTTGATAACATCACAGCGCTAGGACTATGGTTATCACAAAAAGGAGAAGTGACGACTTAATAAACAAAAGCGCCAAGCTGCCCCACCACAACTTCGCCGGGCAAAACAGTTATCAACGCTGTCTTTCAATTTTCAGTCACACGAGCACAGCTTGTTCACAAGTCTTGGAACGTCAACACAGCACCACCGAACAGTACATTGCTCTCAAGTAAATAGAAGCGTACGGGCTAACTAGTGGCGAAGCAAGAACCGAGCACGTAGTTCATACGTTTCCGTACGTACTTGGGGTCACTCAAGTAACGTGTCAAAACGCTGTCAATCCGAAATGTCGCACAGCACCCAACTGAGAGACTGGAAAGTCAAGCGAACGAACTGTTACCGGCACACAAACACACATTGCAGGCTTCTCGAGTGCTAGTTGCCGTCGATACATCGACGCCGATCCCCGCTTGATAACCACACCGACGCACAGGCTTCGCTGCGCTTCACCGTACACCATTGCACTGCCACAGCTTTCCGCACTGCTCACACGCACTGAAAGAGCTGCTGTAATCACAACACATCCGGTCAAACGCTGAATTAACTCGTGCGAGAAGCATTTGCTGAAAGTCGCACCGACCGATATGCTGTTTACGACGCCATGTTGTTTTCGACAACTGCACCGCACGTAAGAGAGCTCTTAGAAAGTACTTGCACTATTTTCACGGCGTGAAAAAAATTTCTCTTATGTGCGAGGGGGGTGATATGACGAACAGGACAGGCGTGCCAGATGAAAGAGGTGTTTTGGCAACGTCACGGAGTTAGCTGATGTAGAGGGTATTGCTTCACAACCAATAACAAGCTGTGCCTGTCGGCCAAGCCGTCGTCTGCTCGCGTTTGTCGTCTGCTTCGATCAGAGCATGCGACAGGGGATTCGCCTTCGCAACGCTATTATTCTCAGGTCAAGTGGTCTATACGTCGCACAAAATACATGTCAGTGGCTCGCTCTACCTTTGAATGATGTTCGTGCGCCAAGTTAAATGACTGGTAATTGACGCAGGGATGAATTCAGCCAAGGTTTGCTCAAGAATCGTGAAGGTTTGCATATTTTCGGTGTCATACAAAGTTTCTTGGGTCATTTCATTCCGATTGCTTGCCATAATATCACGGTCCATGTCGGTGTCTGAACAGGGAAGGTGAAGATGCATGATTTGTTTGTAGTTCCATGCGTAATCACGCGCACCCCTAATACGCTTTGGTTTACAAAGTACGCTTTGTTCCACATCGTCCCAAAGTGTATCGACAGCTGTATTTCAGAGATCGCAACCATTGGACAGTTAGAGCCGATGAAAGTACACTAGAGCACAAACTTTAGGAACCACTCACTGGAAACTTTCTCTCATTTTTATTTCCAATAGCTTGCAAAGAATGTGCTCCCATTAACCTCTTTGGTGGTAATTTCCACCAATGAGGCAAGGATCTCGAGTCGCACTTTTAATTGGATGAGATGGGGTGCAACACAACAACATAACAAATAAGGTTGATCCTATGTCATGTCGCGTTCGAATGCACCGACCATTAACGTATCACATTGGTTTTCATCCAACCACAAATCTTTACATGCGTAGTTTTATGCCATTGACGCCCAATAGAATTCTTCAATTACTGCGACTTCGAACTTATTGGACGGTGGTGGTTGTCAACACCATCCACTGCGTACAAGGGAAACAACACGCGAAACTCAAAGTGCCGAAGGAGATAAAAGCGCACCAGCAGTCATCAGGCAGCCCTTAATGGGCGTGAATTAACTCAAAACCAGCCAGGGCACCAAAGTATACCGCTGTGGCAGCAGGTTCTAAGTAGCCACATTGTTCCTAAGAGTGGTCCGGACCACTCTTGGGATTTTCTCTCAGCCATGCTGTTTTTACGCACAATTTCGCTTCGTGAATCCACTTACGAGCACTTTTCGGTGACGTAAGCAAATATAGCAACTGCATCACCATCGCTGACATGTTCCCGGGCAGTCACAGCGCGCTTTATTTGCAGCGGCCGATGTGACAACTATGGCCTCTTACGACGTTTTTTCGTTTCGTGAATCAACTTACGCAACAAAATTTCTCTTGCGCAAAAATGTTTTCGTAAGTGAGCTTTGTGAATCCGGGCCCAGATCGATAGTTTCCAAGCGAAATTTAGTTTGCTGCCTCCATTTCAACTCAATTAATGAATCAAGTGATGTTTTGGTTCTGTACTTGAAGGGTAACTTTCCAACCACCGTGGTTGTCTAGTAGTTATATTGCTCGACTTCTAAACAGAACGGCGCGTGATGATATGCCGACAGAAACGGTTTCATTTATTAATAGTATGTGCAGCGCAACAAATGTAGGGGAAAGAAACAGAGACAAGAAAGGGTGCTGAGTTTCAGCTCTATATAATTACGGTATTCCGGCCACTTTTATGCAAGAGGAATAAGCTAATCACACACGCGACAACGCACGCGTGATTAGGCATAACCACACACATGCACGCAGTTCATTGACCTCGCATAGAAGCAACTAAATTACCCAAATATTTACAGCTGAAACTCGGCGCTCTTTCCTGCTTCTGTTTACCGTCCGGCGTTGCTTGTGCAACGACGATATTTAGGATGAACCACCTCACCCAAATCGATCTGTTGTTGCAGCTTCATTTCAGTTTAGGTGAAATAACGAGAGGCACCTGTGCACGTTAAAAAACACCAGGTGGTCAAAATTTTTCAGAGCCCTTCACTACAGCGTTCCTCATATCATATCGCGGTTTTGGGAAGTGAAGCTGGCCCTTAACAAATATAATTGTTGAAGGACGACTTTATCAGGCTATACAGCTTAACATCGAAGCTCTTGCTGAAGAAGCCTTGCTAAAGTAAACAAAGCAACAACATTAACTTACTTCAACGCCAAGGTATGTAAGCCATCGCCATTCTACGAGTGTAGAAAAGCCAACAGAAGTGTTCGCGCGGACACTGATCGAACGTCCTGAGACTGAGTGAAAGATTGGTTGAATGAGGCTAACGTGTCAGTTGGCGCAGTCTAGCTGTCGAAAGAGTCTGTCGGTTGCCGGCGGACGCGTGCGAGACCGAATAGCGGAGAACTGGGCGAGTGTGCGTGAGCAACGTCAACATCTTCTTCCTTTCTTAGGACGGCGGCTGGCGGATGTGACGAAACGGTCGGCCTATCGACGCCCAGACACTTTGCCCCCCTCGAGTGCGGACTGCCGCGGCTGACCGGAGAAAAAGGAGAGCGGGCCGTTCCGAAGGCCGCGAACGTGATAAACGGACGGAGAGGGAAACCTCAGCGGCCCCTCCGAGCCACCACTTGTCATGAATGCTCAGCCAAGACTCAACGACCGCGATGCCGACGGCACGCGCGGAAAGGCGACGCTGGAAGCCGGGGACGCACCCCCGTCGAAGCAGGACGACGTCCCGGCGCAGGACTCGACGCAAGACGACGACACCGATAGTGACTACTTGTGTGGTGTGGGAAACTACAGACCAAACTGGTTACAGAGGTTCGCCACTTCGCGTTACTATGCCCTCGTGTTCGGCTTGCTGGGCATCTTTCAGGGCGCCTTCCGAACCTACCTGGTCGGAACACTGTCCACCGTGGAGAGACGCTTTTTCGCTGTCCAGCCGCGCCTCGGGCATCATCATGATTGCCGACGACCTGAGTCCCATCGTGGCGAACTTCGTGATGATGGCCCTTCTGAGACGCACCAGTAAAGTGAATTGGGTGTCCGGAGGAATGCTCTTCTCACTCCTCGGAGCTGTGTCCAGTATGCTCCCTTACCTGGTCTATGGTCCGGGCAAGCACCTCGAAGGAGATGTGCGTATGGTCAGTGGTGTATCAACAAGTACCACTCAGTTCTGTGGCACTTCGGACGTCGACGCAGCAGCGGCGAGTTGTCAGGCCATCAAGGAGGACGCAGCCTCCATCGGGCCCCTGATGTTCTTCTTCATGGGCAACTTCTTGAACGGACTCGGCGGTACCGCTTACTATGTCATCGGGACCACTTACATGGACGACAACGTTAAGAAGAAAAACTCGGCTGTGTACTTCGGTATGTCCGCCATACTTCTCAGTTTGTTGCTCAGGAGTACAACTTCTATCGAGAAAAGTGTAATCACAAGAGGCATCGGTGTAGGTGATTCCTCAGGCAAAGCATCGGCTGTGTCTGTAAGATCCTGATTGCAAAATTCAATCAAGAAAAAGGATGTGAAATGGTTTCAAATATTGCCAGAAAAAAATGGTAAGACCCCGGCTAGACGTTCAGAGTACGAGCGCATAGTACATCCGATTCATTCGACGAATCATGTGCGTGACATGTAACCGGCAGTTAAATTTCATTGTATTTAATTACGTCAGTTACATAGGTTTTAGTTATCAGCGACATATTCCATCTCATATGCACAGACTGGCAGAACCATTCCCATTACTTCCGAGAGAGCCGTCTATTCCCTACTCTTTGCATTGGCTAGTTTATCTTTTCAGGAAGCTATGGAAAGTTACGCAGCGGAAACTGTGACCCGCGGTGGCCTCCTCCTTTTTCCGTAACAAGGCAAACAAACGCTTTCGAGTGACCGTAAGCTCAAGGAAATGAGACAAAGTTGCATTGCAAGGAGTGCGTAATATTCTTAGAGACGAGTTAATTATTACTTATTTGGTTATGCCGACGCTGCACGAATAGCACTGTGAAGAGACTGCAAAGCATGCTACTTATAGAATCGTATACGTAGTTACCTTAATCTTGACGAAACGAAATTTCTGGTTAAAATGAAAATTCTTTCTCTGAAAAGCAGCTATATCATTCGCGGTTTTAAACAATAACCTTCATGACAGTATTATTAGAGTTCCAACACAAGGAACCTATACGTATAGGACACCGCACTTAAAACCGCAACAAATGCATGCTTGTGGAGAAGGAAGTGTTGTTTGACGAGTTGGTGATCGCTCAATTACATAAGTGTATTTAAACAAACTAACTGATGTGCAAAATACAGAGGAACAACATGCAGAAGTCAAGAAGACATCTTCCGTCAGGTTGTCCCCTTTTTAGCGCTGTTATTGGGTCTTTGAATCCTTCTGATTATGCGAACATAATAAATACCCGTGTAATAAGATTTAGGTGCCCGTTAAAAAACCCCAGGTGGTCGAAACTTCTGGAGCTCTTCTCTGTCACATCTCTCCTTATCATGTCATGGTGTTGGGACGTCAAACCCCAGTGATTATTATCGCAATGAGCATGACAGATATCTTTTCAGTCTACTGTCTACTATAATACTCAAGGTTGTTCATTGGATGCGGCGGCCGCTTGATGAGGCCAGCCATGACCACAAACATGGGAAGAAGGCGATGCGCCCGTCGGGAAGTTTCGCATGTTCTAAAGGCCGGGAAACGTTTGTGACTAAGCGTTATCAATAACGGGCCAGTTATTTCAGTAATTGCGTGGTCGCATTTTCTACGCAGCCTGCATATTTTTCATCAAATATCTATGAATACTCATTGTCTCTTGAATATGCCAGCATTGTGTGGGACCCCCACACAGCTGGTAATATACAGAAAATAGAAAAAATAGAACGATTAGCTGCTCGTTTTATATACAACCGGTATAGATGTCGCGATTCGCCGTCAGCCCTGTTGCAGGACGCGAACCTCAAACTTTTGGCTGATCGAAGGAAAACTGCACGGCTTAACTTTTTCCGCCTTTTATACTTTTCCAGATCAGGATTGCATGCACCAGATTACATAACACAGGACTCAACCAGGGCTTCACGTCATAAACATAGTCGTAGCATTACACCTATATTTGCACGCACTAACATTTACAAGTATTCATTTTTCCCGAGAACTGTCTCTGATTGGAATGCTCTGCCCCATGATTCCCCTATGCTCGACACGCCGAGATGAAACTATACCCTTTTCTTGTCGCTTAAGTCTGCTTCTTTGCCTGTATTTGTCCCTTGTTTTTCACGAATTTTTAATGTACATAAATTTTGTTCTGCAGTTGCATTTTCTATTGCCTCTAGGCTCCCTGTATGTCTTCCGTCTACTGGGACCCGTCTTGGGCTTCACACTGGCGTCGCTAAGCCTAAGTTACCCTGAGGAAATGAAAGGTGAGTATCTGCCTATTTAAAGCGAAAGCTACATGCATACCACGAGGCGAAATATCCGACGCCGCGATCTTTAACCTCTGACGTCCACTAAAATAGTGGCTTTACCACCCGACAGCAAGAAACCTAGCCTGACCAAATGATGCGGCAGTGATGACACAATGTACAAAGATGTCACGAGGACGTCGAAATAGCACGGAAGCCAATACAGTGGTACGCTGCGATTGCATTCTCCTTTATTTTGTCCCGGCGAAAGCGCTGGAAGCTAATTAGGGGTAGGGAGTGGCTTGGGCAAAGGAAATGCGTCACGTGCACCTAGTGACCTTCCGCCCTTTTTTCCATTTTTTTATCTTCCAATACGTAGCTTTTTTTAGTGTGATAGTGCGCGCACGCGCCGAGAAGCCCCGGCCTCCCGTGGCGATCTCTCTCTGTGAGCCAATGGCTGATAGATGGCCCCGTACGAGTGATTTTCGAGCTTCCTCCTGCATTTCTTGAGAGAAGAGAAAGCAGTTTCCAGCTGACTTTGATGACTTATTGTGAATTGCAGGACGCGTGCTACGCTATATTATTTAGCTCACGTGTTCTCGGGAGCTTCTACTACGGATAGCGTTTTCTGACCATGCTCAAAAACTGTTACAAGGCCCCTGTAATGCCTACGCAATTATAAGACGCGAACGGCATGCCTACCACCACCTCCGCAGTTTAGCTGAGGGCCAAACGCGGTATTACTTCTGATAAGAAATTTCATTTGGTGACGCGCACACACAGGCTCATATATATATATATATATATATATATATATATATATATATATATATATATATATATATATATATATATATATATATATATATATGAGAAAGAATTGTATATCTCAGGGCTCGTTTTTCCGTGTTTTGACACAATATAATGATTCTAATGAGATTCCTGCTCATGGCAAGTTATTTTTTCACCTACTTTTCTTTGTTCCTATTTAAATACATTGGTTCTAAACTCTTCCCCTATACATTCTATGCCATTATTGTCTGGTAGATCTCATATATATATATATATATATATATATATATATATATATATATATATATATATATATATATATATATATATATATATATATATATATATATATATATATATATATATATATGGGTAAGAAGTGTATACTTAAGGGCTCGTCTTTCTGTGGTTTGACACAATATTAATGAGATTTAACAGAAAATAATGCCAAGGTAAGCATAGGGGAAGTTATTAGCCTGAATTTTATTGTAAATATGAAGAAAGAAAAGTGGGTGAAAAGATAACTTGCTGTGGACAGGAACCGAACCTGCGACCTTCGAATGACGCCTTCGATGCTCTACCACTGAGCTACCACGGCGGCTATCCTCCCAGCCACTTTATTGGGTTTATATGTGAACTTAAGCGCGGGAGTGCCAGTCAGCGCCATCTGTAGCCATGGCGGCGAGTGTGGCACACTCTTTATGAGCCTGTATGGCGTCACGTAGCGCATGAACTTATTACGAGCTGGCAGCTCACCAATGGTCCCTCGTATACAACCTAAGGCACCAAGTCTGCCAATATGAGACCCTCGTTAATGAATAAGAGAAAGAAGTGTATACTTAAGGGCTCATTTTTCCGTCGTTTGACACAATAATAATGAAATCTGACACAGACAATAATGCCAAGGAAAGTACATGGGAAGTTATTTGACTGAATTGTAATTTAAGTATGAAGAAAGAAAAGTGTTCAAAAAGATAACTTGCCGTGGGCAGGAACCGAACCTGCGACCTGTTAGATCTTTGAGATCTTATATATATATATATGTGTGTGTGTGTGTGTGTGTGTGTGTGTGTGTGTGTGTGTGTGTGTGTGGTGTGTGTGTGTGTGTGTGTGTGTGTGTGTGTGTGTGTGTGTGTGTGTGTGTGTGTTTGTGTGTTTGTGTGTGTGTGTGTGTGTGTGTGTTGTTTTAAATAGGAGGCGTGACAGTACAGTCGCTGCAGCAAGTAGTCATCCCACTCTATCGGCACTCATGTAGCGCTGACCACCGCTGATGGGCGAACAGCGAACAAAGCCACCATACCCTACAGACCAGTGTTCCCTACTGAAACGTTTCGTATGCGATGTCCAATAATTCCGTATGTTTCCGTAAGAATCTTACGGAAATATATGGAAAAGATATGGGAAACATATGCATTTCTTATGAGAATATATGGAATTATTGGACTCACATACGGAACGTTTCAGTAGGGTTGGCTAATTTGGCTATGTAGTGCTGCCACATGCTGGTCAAGCCAAGTAGTTAAAAACAAGATTCACGCCAGCTTAGAATACCTCAGTGACGTAAAACGCTGAGACGTCACCCCTCCTTTACAATGAAAGATAATCGGACAAGATATGAAAGGGGAAGGAGGTGGGAAGGCTTGATCCGTTGCACGCCAAAATTCAAGATTACGGTGTAACACCTTCTGAGAAGAAGGTAGACTTGCGCTTTTAATGAAATGCTTTATTGAATACGCTTTGACTTACTTTTTTTACTGATCCAGAAGGAATCCTCGAGTGAAATTTCATGTGCTAAAATAAAGCGGGAGAGACATTCTTCAAATGTTCCCACAATTTGTGACAACTCGAAATGTAACCCCGAAGCACCACATTAAAGGTACCGAGAAGTCGGGCAGATATTTAAGGGCTATCAGAACGTGGCATCCTAGGAAACGCTGCTGCAGGATTCTGTAACGACTAAAAGGTTAGAAAAAAAAAACGCTGGGAGAGGATGGGTTTGGGGAGGGCCTTTCTCGGGCATTGGTGTATACTTCAAACACACTTAAAAGGGGAAGAGGGCGCCTGTTCGGGGTTTTACGGTACGCAGTTTCTGCTGCAATCATTCTTAAAGAGTCAAGAACGACATGCAAAAGTGAAAGGAACAGTTTTCGAGGGAAAATAGCGGGTGTAGGGTCGTTTTGTTGAGTGCAGGTTAAAATTGCATAATGGGCCTGGTGAAGCTTCTTGGAAGCTGTTCGCCGTCATAGTAAATTTTGGTGTGCAATGGATCAAGCCGCCTCCCTCGTGCTCGTACCAACACGTTGTACCACGACACTGTATTTGACATGCGTTAGCGTTTGTTAACCTCGCTTTTCAAACGACTCCAAGCTTTCGATGTCCTTGTGGCGTCGTCTCGCTAACCCAACCCACTTCCTCGACAAAGAAACGCCCGTTTCGCCGGTTTACGTTCGAGAGCTCGCCCATTCATGCCGTCTGGAAGCTTCGCAACAGAGCCTTGCTATACCATCTGCATCTTTATGGAATGCTCCATTATGCTGAATAAATTAAACATAAAAATGCTTTCGCGATGCGCACAGTTACGCTGTGTCGAAGTAGAATACGCCGAACAACGTACCACTTTGTTCAGCAACAATGGTTATATAAGTGGCATTTGACTAGCTTGAGAGTGAGCTGTTTTCTTAAAAAATGCCATTACGGCATTGAAAGAGCATAGTGGGGGTGGTATTGTATAGTTTCAATGCATTTTATAAAGCTGATACTAACAATACAGGGATGCAGACAGTTGAATTAGCTCTGGATACACGGGATGTTGGCCAGCACACCCCACTGCGGTAAGTAGGCAATCCAACCTTCACCTGGACATCAACGCCTGAGTCAATAGAGATGTGCGAATACCATATTGTTTTGTTAGCTTGATAAATGTCATTAGGAGGGCCTAAAACTGGCATTTCTTTGCCCATGAATTGCTAAGCTAATCAATTTTTTATCATATTAACTTTCAAGTGACATGAATAGTAATCAACCTACAGCTAAACAAGCACTTTTGGTGGCATAGTCTTCCGATTTGTTCTCACAGTGGCTTGTTCCAGAAAGGTTCATCTAATCATATCTTAGTGCAGATAAGTACCTTTTCTTATGTTTTGAAGGTAATGTGTACATACATTACACTTCCAGGCTGACTTAGCTTTCACCATACAATTTTCGTAAGGTCAATCAGGAAGGTTCCCCAGTGTATAAAGAACATTAGCGTTACTCCATTTTGTACACTTTCCTTCTTGCCCTTATTTCCCCACTCCAGTGCAAGGTATAGCAAACAGGATGCTAATATAGGGTTAACCTACCTGCCTTACCTGTCCTGTCTTTTTTTTTTAGGTATTGATGCAAAATTCCAAAGAACGGTCGAGTAAAGAGGGCGTATTTTTGTCCCACAACGATAATCAACATCTGGTTTGCTTGCATGCGCTTCCTTTCTTGAAAACTCGCCCTACCGCGGGGTTCTAGTGGCTAGTGCACTAGACTCCTGACCCGCAGGTCGCGGGATGGAGTCCCGATTGCCACGGCTGCATTTTTGATGGAAGCGAAAATTATGTAGGCCCTTGTGCTCAGATTTGGGTGCACGTTAAGTAACCCTAGGTAGTCGAAATTTCGGAGCCCTCCACTGCGGCGTATCTCATAATCATATGGTGGTTTTGGGACGTTAAACCCTCCATGTCAATCAATCTATTTCTTGAAAACTCGACACTGGCCACTTTTCTATCAAGAAAGCCATGTCACGTTTTTAATGCGCATGTTGTTCGAGACTTGAAATCGCCGGGCGTGCCGCTTTAGTGCAAGGAAAGGAGTGCAAGGTAGATTATGGTTGATTGACAAAAATACGTCTTTTTTTTTTACCCCTATCTTTCCTTTCATAGAATATCGAGGTTGGAGCTCTCTGTGAATATTTAACTAACCTGTGTTAGTCAAAGCTATCACTACATTATATATGGCAATGATTATGATGATGATGATGTTAGGAGCGTGTGTTCACTTGGTCTGGCTACGAAATCGTGTGAAACAGCCACACAAACAGCTACAAAAGCAGTACGAATGAAAGATCTTGCCACACAATCGGTGTCGTGGCGGGGAGAGAGAAGGGGAAAATACACTGCTTTGGAGACCAAGTTGGACAAGATGCGCAATATCCTAGAGGAAAAGCAAGACATATTGACAGTTGAGCAATCACCCATCCGCTATCTTATCTACGAAGCGTACAAAGGCGAACTTTCCATCACACCTAATGGTCAGAGCTACATATCGCAAAGCTATTATTTGCGCTATATGTTTTTATTTGGGCTTATTGGCACGTTTCCATGGTGACGCGACGTCTGAAGTGGCGCTGATTTGTGAAGTGGGCACCACAATGGCTCGTAGTGGCCAGTCGACGTCTTCGTTTGTGTTGTTGCGCTACCTTCTACTCACAGCGACAGCATTTACTTGGTCTCTAACGTGTTGTTTTCACTGTGTTATGTGCAGTGTGATGCACATCAAGTGTGATATGCATAACGCTCGTAAGTGTGATGAGCATTCCTGCGTATGCATCAAAGAATGGTTTCTTCGGGAAATAACTATACTTTGATTTACCGCTGACCAGAGGCTGCGTACGCAATTAACTTATTACTGACAGTTGTGCGTAGCCGTCAACCACATTAGATTTCAATGGAAGATATCTATTTTTCCCCTTATGTGGCAGGTGTCTTATGGCAAACTATGTCGGGAGATAGAGGCTACCAACACTTTTTTTCTGGTGTTTCAGCGGTATTCAATGATCAAACATTTGCGGTCCCTACTGCACGGTTAGTTCTTGCGAACACGAGCGTTAGAACGTTTCGAGAAAATGAAACCTGTCCACCCCGATAGTGCTCGGCTCCTGACTCCGAAGTCACGGGGTCGATTTCGCATTTCGATGGGGCCAAAAGCCCGTGTGCTGCGCAATGCCAGTGCACATTAAAGGACGCCATTTAAAGAGCCCTACAGTTCGGCGTTTCTCATAGTATCATTGTTTTGACACGTAAAGAATTCATAGATGTTCAAATGGGAGACTTACTTTTGTTTTGTTTACAGAGTAACAGCACATTCACACCTAATCGACCATTGAAACACACTTCCTCCTAAAAGAGCCTTCTCAGCGTGATTTTGAATTACTATGTTTTTTTCTGTGGAATTCACCATTACGTAATACTAATTAAAGAAAAACTAGCGCTTGCGGACAAGCAAAATAAAAGTAACGAGAAGATAATAGTGCGTACGTTAATGCCTCATACTTTAGCCCATTTTACAGGCGCGTGCTATTCGGTGCTGGGCTCAAGTTGTTGTGCCCTTGTCAGAGCCGCTCGTGTTGTTGTCGGCACATCATGTTACCCGCGGCAAGAGCGCACTGGCTGCTCAGCTCAAGGTCGCGCGTTCAATTCCGCGGCCTCGGCTGCAGCAGAATGTGAAAGCGCTCATGTACCGGCAGGGGCAGCGCCAGGATTTTTGAAGGGGAGGGGGCGGGCGCCCGTTTTGTTTTGGCCATGTTTGATCTTGGGGGGTCATAGCGGGGGCTGGTGAAAATTTTAGGAGCGGGGGTCCGACCCCCCCTCCCCCTTCGAACCCCGCTGGTGCCACCTTTCTTTCCGCACCCTGCACTATATATAGTTTTCTACAATATTTTCGAGATTAAATTGAATTCGTTTAGCCACCATGAGAACGATGGCTAGGGCAGTAAAAGCTCCTTAATTTGCGTTTCACGAGACACGAAAAGCTGTCTGCGGTAACCAATTGCCGAATTATTGAAAGTATCAGGTGCACGATTAAGAAATGCCTCGTTCATCAATGTAATTTTACTTTCATGAGGTATACGTAAATCCACAAATTGTTTCGTGGAAGAGCAGTGAATAAGCCGCAATTTTCTGTCGTTTTCGACTCCCTTCGCAGTGTGAACGCAGCTCATGACTCCTTGTCTTTATCCGAAACGTGCTCGAACCTACATCTCATTACCGACCGACAGCGTGACTATGTTGTATCACAAATATGTGTTACCCCAGTTGGTACTTGCTTATTGACATATTTTAGCCGCGAAAAAACACAAACACAGAGTAAAGAAACACACAACAAGGACAATGACAGTTCTTGTCAATGTGTGTTTCTTTAATCTGCGTTTGTGTTATTTTGCGGCTAAAACGTGACAATAAGCGTTACTATGGATGGCGACCACGTCCTTCTTGAGGTCCTCGGACGTTTCGGCTTTCCACGAACGCGGCTTTCGTCACTTCACATCGCATGTTTTCGACGCTTGGCGCGTTCCCACGATCGTCCGAACTGACCGTACTGGAGCAAATATGGCAGAATTAACAAGAATTCGAAGCCATTCAAGAATGCATATGCTGATCGGGACCAGAGAAGACGTCCAAATTACTCCATTTTTCGAATTTACGAGTGTAAAATTAACGACTTTTTTCTGTACATAAATTTGCATTATACCTTCGAGCTTGCGATTGCGAACGCACATATAACCTTGTTTATTGGTGCGCTTTTGGTTTCGTTTGGGGTAAGTAATGAATCATTGTGAACTTCGTGAGCCAATTTGAAGTGGTAAGCCAAGAGGGCCAAGTTAATGAAGTCGCACTGCTGAACTTCGCTGAGCTTCGTCTTGAGATGAACCGGCGGCAGGCCTCATGGAGCCAAACAGAGCCGAAAGAGCAGAGCTTCGACAAACCCTTTGACTGCCCGTTATCCCCATGTTGGCTGAAGCGCCAAGAGTTGCAGACACTAGTGCCAGATTTACCTCCAATCTCCTATAAGTAATATCAGTGCCATGCACCTTAGGCACGTCGATCATCCTATAGTTTGTTGGATTTGATACGGCGTCTCCCATTACGGCATTCTTTACGAACATATAACGACTCTGGCACGTGAAACCAAATAACCGATATTTACTATCTTTCAAAGTGCGTTTAAAGCAAGAGGCACTCAGTGAGCCGTGATCCACTCCGCGTTTACGCATGAATCTAGATTAGATTTGCGATCTGGAAATACGAGCCTATAACGTAGTGCCACTGAATATATATGTTGAAAGGTGAATGTGACCCTTTTCCAGCACCAGTTGAGTGATGTTGAGTAAGTTGATAAAGTTCTCAACTGAAACAAGTTCAGAAAATCCTTATAACTTGCTCATCTGGTTGCAAACACTATTTGAACGACAACGGATCCCGCAGCCTATATATTGAGGGCCTACAGTACCTGCCACATCCACTTGCACCTGAATCAGATCTTACTTGGTCTAAGATGTAAGAATGGAACGGCCGAGTAACGTTGAACCTTAGCGCTGTCTCTCACGATTGTTCACTCGGCTAACATCAGACAGAACGTTCCTTCTATTGTCGTCTGCGCTCTGTGTGTATGTTACAGTGTTTATTCGAACGACCTGTTACATGTGTGTTATCTAATCTTGGCAACTGTATTGTGCATACGTAAAATTCCAGGCATGTGCTTCCCCCCAACAAGCCTTCTGGAAGCCGAAATGGCCAGCATGGTGGAGGGGGAAGGGGTGTTCTTTCCCGGAATGGCGTCAACTGAATTTTCCAGCCAGAAAAAAAAAAAGGAGTGCATAAGACCTCCCTCAGAAATCTCACTTTCGTTCATGAAACGGCTTCTTACAACAATGCCTCAAAAAAATGAAAGAAAACATTCACACCATATCCCGAAGGGAATCCTGATGGGGTGAAAAACAGCAGCGTTGCACACGAGTGGCGTCACGGGTTGAACGGAGCTAACGCGGGTACTGCGGTGAGTGCTGGAAGATTCGCTGGCGTAGGCCTTGCAATGGCTGGCGTGTCAGGTTTATTGCCGCGTGAACCAACGAGTTGGTGGTGTAGCAAGCGGTGGTCGCGGTAGTGGAACGAGCAGTGGTAGCAGCCGGTGTTGCGGGCGAACGGACGAGGCGACAGCTGCGGGCGCTGCGGCGAGCGCGTGGCAGGTGAGGGAGAGAGTGAGGTCACCGCGCACTGCGGGGAGAGCGTGACGTCAACTCAAAGCTGCGGCGTGACCTATTTGTCACCACCCCAACACCTGCATGCGGTGAGGGGAGCACTTTGCGCCGCGTTCGTACGCACGCATGGAAGGACAGCGTTACACAGGCTAGTCAAAGAGCTGCTTCGCATCCACACAGAAAAAGAAAAAAAAACGCAATGTAAGTAAGATCAGACCGCGGGAAGCATGGCATGAAAGAGTCTCCGATGATGAGCTAATGCAAAACATATTGCAAAGCTCTTCGCAACCCACACAGATGGGGGAGGCCTTACTTGTACTCAATACGCCGTAATAGCCACCACCTGGCAATGACCATATTTGAAGACCATGCTTTTCCTGAAGCAAGACTGAAAGTTGGGCTAGTTGGTGATACATTATAGGCAGAAACAGCGCACAAACTCACGGGACGAAGAGACAAACAGCGTTTGTTTATGTCTCTTCTCTTCGTCCCGTGAGTTTGCGCGCTGTTTCTGCCCATAATGTTTTTCCTCGCAAGAGGCCGAAGGTCATTGTTGGTGTGTCGAGCTAACTTTAGTGTGTGATCATCACGTAAAAAAAGAAAATTCACTCTGACGACAAACTCCAGCGGCAAGCGCACTGACATCGGGCTACTAATCTGGATTGGATAGTATTCATGCAGGCCAGTGTTAGACGGGCGCGTTCCCTACCTTTCTTATATTCTTTCTCTCTCTCTCTCTCTCTCTCTCTCTCTCTCTCTCTCTCTCTCTGCATGACCTGGGTACGACGAGAAAGAAATCGGGGAGGTGTGTACGCTTTCCCTGCACGGCGAGGAACTTCGAAATAAGCAGTAAAATTGAAAGCGTTTCTTTCTGGGAAAGGGAGGGGGGTCAGTAAGTTTTAACATGTACTATGCATAAACAAGACTTTCGTCATATGGTGTGCTGCAACATAATGTTAATACGGATGACTGCACGCATCATAAGTAATACCGATGTAACCGCTCCGAGCAAAAAAGAGAGAACATTAATGTTGATTATCCATGCTCATTTTGCATATGCTCTCAGGTACGTCCCCGCTTAAGCCTGGCGATCCTCGGTGGATCGGCGCCTGGTGGTTCGGCTACATCTTCATCGGGCTGGGTATCCTGATCAGTACACTCCCAATGCTGTTTTTTCCGAAGAAGATTCGGTCCAAATCAGAAGCGAACAAAGGAGATGCGTTGAGCAAGGACAAGAGTATGAAAACGGAATTCAAAGGTAGGCCTCCAAAGTGTTTCGGCGTTCGGCACTCGTCTGCGGTAAACAGCCGCGCTGATATGCTGAGATCTTAGGATGGGTTGTGGGCGGGCAACGACTATCATGTTCCACGTGGTCTTTTTTTTTCTTCATTTCAATTAATGGACTCCGTCAGGTAGCGTGGCGCACAGCTTTTCTTCTCTCTCACCACTAACACCTCTGATCAGGTTGTAAAGCTTTTTACCACCACTCCTGACCCCCCCCCCCCCTCCTGCCTTCCTTTATGCTTAGTTCTCTACTTTGATGTCATTGTAAATCCAATATAAAAATATGATGCAATACTGCTTTGAAGATAAAAGTAAAACTTGTTCACCAGTGCCTGCAACTCTGTGGAACACATTCTGATGTTTCATCCCTACGTAACTCTCTCAAGATTTACAGTTGAAATTTACATAGCTTGATAAAAAAAAAACAAGATGTTGCTATCTGACATATGCTTTTCACACTTCTCGATATAAGCTGGTAATCTCTATTTGTTATCTGTTTGCAGAGTTGTTGCAAGGCCTCGGGAGGCTTGCCCGGAATCCAGTCTACGTGTTCCGCATCCTTGCGGCCATCGTAAATTACATCGCTCTGGCTGGTTATTACATTTCTTTTCCTCGCTATACGGAGCACCAGTTCTCCCAGACCGCTTCAAAGGCCAGTCTTCTTGCTGGTGAGCTCACAGGACCATATAACCTACAACGCTGGAGCTCAGTAAACACTTTAAGAGGTTGTAGAGGTTTTGAGTAAAACATAAGCTAACTTCAGTGACTGTGAAGTGTATTAGTGTCATTAGGCACGTTTTCACACCAAATACTGTTGATACTCATTGGGTTAACCCCTTCAACTCCACCAAGCAAAATAAGAAAAAAATTCATTTTCCAGCTTAAGTAGCAGTCTTTAAATGATTCCGTAGGTAAATTATCAAAAAATTCAACTTCAATGCATACTTTTGCGTGTCACAAATTCTCCATATACCACAGAAGCGAAGACCTAGCAACAAAAAAAAAACGTTCTTCAGAACCACGTAACATGTTGTGTACCACCTCTTGAATGCACACACCCCAAATAAGCAATATTATTGGAGATATTCCTTGCGTCAGCACGGCGCGAAAAAACAAAAAAGTGAGAGTTGTTGCACGCTCTTCGTGGTCTCCTCCATCAGCTCCAAGACAATTGGTTCTATCTTAAAATACCTTGAACGATACTGCGCTATATACTTAATGCTGAAAGCTACATGCTCCGTGAGTATACTTGGCGGTCGGAAATAAAAATGGCACGCACTTCGTGACTTTCTTCCGAAGTTTTTCGATATGTCGTGAATTCGCGACATCCGGCAGTAAAGGGTTAAGAATTGGCTGCTATACGACGCATGCTTCATATTTAGAACGCCGGGGTATATTGAGCCACTATTCAGTCCGCGTACAGTTGAAAACAATTTGTGACCTAAAATGAGGGCAAAATTACTCTAACTCTAAAGGGTGGTGCCCAAGATGAACTGTATGAGATTGTAACTCACAAGAGTGGAAGCTTGGGCTAGTTGGTGCGTAGTCCAACTAACCTTATAAAATTAGTTGGAAGTCAGCGCTCTTTCTCTCTATCCTGTCCTTTTTCCTTTGTTCGTGCGCTGAAACATCTTGCAAATATGTATGAGATTATTATCAGCACAAACTATTGTATTCCAGAATTAGATGTAGTATAGCAGCTTGTCTGAAGCTTACGCTGAGTACGCTAAAGAATTCACTCCCATATTACCACCACTGGCTCACTCTGGCTTCTGTTGGCTTTCGTTTGGTAATTAATGTTGTAACCTTTAGCTAGTGCTGGCTAATGTTGGCTTCGATTGGATAACAGTTGGAGAACGCTAACTACAGCTGGACAACTGTTATTTATATCTGCTAGTTTTAGCTACCCGTTGGCTAACAGTGGCTCGAGTTCACCTCAATTCCTTCCATGCACTTATTGTTCCTCTGACATAAAAAAACTGTGCACGCAGGGCCCACTTACATCGTGTCAAACGTGGTCGGCATCGTCCTTGGCGCCGTGTTCGTGCACAAAGTGAAGCCGTCACCCAGGGTTGTCGGCATACAGTCAGTCGTCGTGGTCTTTATCGCCGCAGTTGGTATCACTTCGCTTATGGCGATTAACTGTGGCTCGATACAGTACCCCGTGGTACCGGATGCGGTCGAAGGGTGAGCTTCACTCTATGTAGTCACTTAGCTTAAGTTCTTTTAGTTTGGTCATATAGAGGCGTGCTATTTTACGGGAAGGTTCTTCCCGGTGGCAACTCGAATCCAGGAATTCTAATTGAAGAGATGGTTGACAAGAATTCACAGAGTATGCGACGCGCATGCAATGCCACTGAACTAAACAAGAATGGTAATGCTGAGAGCCTAATTTATTTATTTATTGATGATTGATTGATTGATTGATTGATTGATTGATTTACTCTTGTAGCTCAACGTCCCGATTCTATTTGCAATGCCGGGCTGTGAGAGACTCCGTTGTGAAAAGCTGGTTAACATCCACCTCTTTGCGAGTTCTTGCACTATAAGTTTTCACTAGATGAAGAAGGCCGTAAATCGAGCACGCTACGTCATTTTCAGCAGCAGAACGCTACAACAACCGGGCCACAGCAGCATGCAAACTAAATCTTAAGCAAGCGAGTTAGGGTTTTAACTCACTTGTGTTCTAACTGCAGATCAGTTACTCATCATGCCCTCTGTTATAAAGCAATAGCAAGAACGATAAAAACGAGCAGTGGTGGATTTCGGTTTCCTTGCCACTAGTTTAAGGGAAGACAATGACGTGGTTGGATGTGAAGCTTACGCAGGTTTAAGCTAAGTTATTTGCCGCAGTGAAATGTCTCCTCTGAAAGGAAGCTAATGATAGATGTGCTATTGATCGATGTGTTTCGTTCGCAGCCTTCAGAATCATCAGAACTATTTCTTTGTTTTTCACGTCAAACAAAGGAGATAATACATGATTAGTATATACAGAAGGAGGTCCGAAAGTCACGAACTGAAATGGCACACTAGGCTCCTGACAAATGCGCATTTGTTGATTCGTTCGTCTTTCGAGTAACAGTAAAAAAATGTATGTTGGCAAACCTTATGCAATGCGAGAGCTCTAAATATAATGAAAATTACATCATTTACTCCTATTATGCGCAATAATGCAATACTTATGGCTTACTGCAGCACTGGCTCTTCGTGGCCAAGCATGGCCTTTACGCCATTAAAAGCCACAAATCATTATTGCAGCACGCACAGTTATGATTGATTGATATGTTGAGCCTAACGTTCCAAAACCACCATATGATTATGAGAGTGGAGGGCACCGGAAATTCCGACCACCTGGAGTTCTTTAGTGTGCACCCAAGTCTGAGCACACGAGCCCAAAACATTTCTGCCTCCATCGGAAATGCAGCCGCCGCAGCCCGGATTTGATACCGCGACCTGCGGGTCAGCAGCCGAGTACCTTAGCCACTGGAACACCACGACGGGGCACGCATAGTTATTTACTTGCGCTTTTTTAGCAGGGTAACACTGCAGTCATCACATGAACTGAAGCGTCTGTTTCTGCTTTATTAATATGATGGCATTAAATAGCTCGTTTTGCAGAAATGCCTGTGTCGGCGTCACTGTCGTTAATTGTGAGCGAAAAAAAAAAATAACTTGTCCATGAACGAGAAGTCGAAAAAGAGGAAACTAAAATAAATACAAAACTTTTTTTTGTTCGAAGTAAGATTTGAATTCATGCCGCCTACGTGGCAAGCTGGTGTTTTACCACGAAGTCACGCCATTCCTTGAAACTGTCTTGGTAAAAAACGCTATAGGCACCCTACAGTGGACCAGAGGGCGCGACGAAGCTTTTTGTGACGTCTCAGCATTGATGGTAGCGACCACCAGGGATACAAAAAAAAAATGAATCTCTCGCTGAACACATTGAGACGCTGAAGTGTCAATACCCTGACTCGCTTGCTGGATTCCGGGCCGACTGGTCGTGCGCTCGCGCGCTCCGCGCGCTTACGATCTCCGGCGTCAGCGTGGCTCTGGCCGACTGGGCTCGCCCTACGTCACCTCCTGCCGCCGACGACCTTCGACGACAGTGTAGTTCTGACTTACTGGACTTGCTCTATGCCATCTACCGACGCCGAAAGGAGCTCTCGCAGGTGTGCCCCGTCCTCGGACTCCAGTGACCGTGCTCCCATCTTTCCTATCTCTTCTATCCCCTCACTTTGTCGTCGCTCGCTCTGGCTTACCGCCTCACGTCTCTTCCTCTCTTCTCCTTCTTCCGCTTTCCTACATCTTTACTCCTACCCTTTTTATCCCTCCTCACGCCCATCCCTCGTGAGCTACTGTGGCGGTGTCGCTCACTGAAGCAGACAATAACGGGGCTCACTTTTCTCTTTCTTTCCCTTTTTAAGAATCACTTCTCTCAATGTCCTTTTTTGCACGTTTTCAAAGAACGCTTCCTGGGCGCTTACATAATCAGCCGTGACCTCCTGCTCACAACAAAAAAAGAAAACAATATGCACGTGCAAGTCCGGTTTTGCTGCGTCTACTCGCTAGGCTACGCCTTGGAAGACTCGGTTTCGCTGCGTCTACTCGCTAGGCTGTGTGTTCTGGCGCTACCATCAGATCTCGTAAACTGCATTGCCGGGTGCCTATACAAATGTCATGAAATGAAACGACTTTCTTTAGCGCGTGTAACGTTGCGCGACACAACCCCAGAATCGAACCTGGCGTCAAAACAAGCAAACAGCGCAGCGTGTGAGTGGTCTTAAGCCGGCCACCCATTACAATGTGTACGGCTGCGCGAGTCCACGTATACGGTTGAGTGGAGGGCACATTGCCAATGAGCAAAATGAATAACCATGACGTAGTTGGCATTTGACAAATGTACATCAGGTTGAAATTCTCAGACCGTGGCTCTAGGCCAGCAAAGCGACGAGAGCATTGCTACGGTTTTTTTTTTTTAAATTTAAATCGACAGTGTTAAGCAGTCCATTGGGTGCAATGGGCAAGCGAACATGTACCCTGATGATGATTGCCTCTTCTTTTTTTTCTTTAATTCCTTTCCCCCGAGTGTAGTGTAGCGAGGTAGACACGCGACTGATTTGTCTCCCCCTGCTTTTCATTCTTTTCTACCTCCTTCGACTCCTCCCTATATAGTTAAAACAACGTGCGCTACGCCCACAAACGTTTCTTTCCTTGCGGCATGGTAGAATGCAGCGCGTACGGTGCCCAATTACGCTTTCGCGTTCTACTCTGCAGTCGGAGATCAAGTGTCCTCAATATTTTTGTAGAAATGGAAAGAGAAAAGCTACTAAATAAGTGCACTTGTTTCAAAGCTACTCTTCTTCTATTTACACCCGGCTAAAAAGTGTATGAAGAAACATGGGTAGTGGCTGTTGCTTTTGTTATACATTACACTTTTTTTCGGCGAAATTCGCGCTTTGTAGATGACCATTTCAGCTCGGGTGCAAGTCCTGCAGTGCAGAACTTTAGACTTGTCGCTTTTCACGTACAGGAAAAGTAGCTTAGTATTCGGTCCGAAGCCTTTGGACACCCTTACTACACCCTGCCCGCGACCAGTGGAATCATTGATGTATTAACAAACTGAAAAGGCTCTTGTCTTGGCATTTAAATAAATTGTAACTTACAGCCGCAGCATTTCTCACATTCTAATACAGAATTGCGGTGGAATCATTGTGGTGTCTGGGCACACTTTAAGTGCAGCGTAGACGATTTTGTTGTCTCATTTACAGCAACCAATGTCTTAATGTTTACTATCAGTAAGAACAGTCAGGCATTGTTATATAAATGTGAATATATATCGTGAGCATCGATTGAAAAGATGTACACTTACAAATGCTGTTTCGTGCATGTTCTGTAGATGCCTTAAATTACGGGACCATATTTGCGCCATTCGAGTGCATACTTTGCGCCATTCGAGCTTCTAGTGTTCGCACACACACACACACACGCGCGCGCGCGCGCACGCACACTCACTCACTCACTCAGACACACACACGCACGCACACACACTCACTCACTCACTTACTCACACACACACGCACACACACTCACTCACTCACACACACACACACACGCACACACACTCACTCACTCACACACACACTCACTCACTCTCTCACACACACTCACTCACTCACTCACTCACTCACTCACTCACTTAGAACTTTGGTTGATACCCCCCACCACATCGGTTGAACTATGATGGAGGCCAAATGCTAGAGCCTCGTGCTCTGTGCGATGTCAGCGCAGGTTAACGAACACCATATGGTCGAAATGTATAAAGCCCTCCACCAGAAGATCTTTCCTAATCATATCGTGGTTCTGCGACGTAAAACACACAATCACATTACTAGTTGATTCGTACTAAAATTTGAAGTGCACCCCGAGAGAACCACCGGGATCTATGGAAACTAAAAATTGAGCTATGAATGGAAGATCTTTTCCACACCTTGACAGCTCTGCTGCGCAGTGTACTTAAAAAACCAGTATCTATCTATCTATCTATCTATCTATCTATCTATCTATCTATCTATCTATCTATCTATATATGTATATATATATATATATATATATATATATATATATATATATATATATATATATATATATATATATATATATATATATATATATATATATATATATATTAAGTGCGAATACACTTTATAAGCGACCCCAAACCATCCACCGCCGTCGGCGGCGTCCGCAGTGTTTTCTCTCTCTCTCTCTCTCTCTCTCTCTCTATATATATATATATATATATATATATATATATTATATATATATATATATATATATATATATATATCGGTGTCAGTAACGCGCCTTATATCCAGAAGGTAGCGTTGCCTCCGGGATATCCATCGCACGACCCGCTCTCGACGGGAGACTGAGAGAGAAGGCGGGCGCGCGAGAGAGATATCAGCTTAATCCGTAGAGCGTCGCGCTGCGGCCCGCCAAGTCCTCTTTCTTTTAGTGATAGAGAGAAGATTGCGGACGCCGCCGACGGAGGTGGATCGTTTGGGGTCGCTTATAAAGTGTATTCACACTTAAAAATTCGCTCGCATACTTACTCTCGCATGCGCACTACAAAATATGTCTCAACCTCCTGCAGTTTCAGGCTATTCCGTGTGTACAGCTTATTTTCTACGCATTCGCAGAGTGACCATCCAAAATCAGTGCAGTGATGGATGCGACTGTTCCACAAGAGTGCATCGTCCAGTGTGCGACCAAGCAACAGGAACGCAGTACTTCTCAGCGTGCTTTGCAGGTTGTCCTGTCAGCGAGTACAATCAGACGGTGAGCTCCTTCGTGTCGCTTCATATTCAATGGCAAACAATGATCATCACAGACAAGTGTTATTGACTTATCTTTTCACAGTAAACCAAATGAATTGATGGAATTGACAAAGACAACTAGTGAACTATCCAGCGCTGTGCATATAGTAGCACACAGGTACATTAACGATTACTAACACAGAAACAAATTTGATCATGTATGATATCGCATGCTTGTTAGGGTACGCTAATTTATTTCTATTTACTACACACTACTGCAGTCTAAAATATAAGGTGGTAGCACAGTAGGTTCTAGAGTGTGATTGTTGCATAAAGCTTCAAAGAAAGCATGGTCGAAATAATTACGGTGATACTGCGACACGTTTTTACTACACACTGCTGTAGCCTAAAATATGAGGTGGTAGCGTAGTAGGCTCTAGAATGTAATTGTTACATAAAGCTTCAAAGAAAGCATGGTTGAAATAATTACGGTGATAAGCGTAGAAGGCATTACGAGCTTGTTCTATATATCCCTCCTCTCAAACATATTTTTTGTTCATACTAAGTATACAGAGTTCTAACAGTCGCGAAACGAAAATACTTAAATGACATATATCATTCACTTATGTCCTTTTTCCCCGTTTCTGCGAGCTGTGCATACTTCATTTCTATGAAGAAAAGAAATGTAGCAACTGCTTAATTGTCGAAACCTTTCGGAACGAATTAAAAAAAAAAGTATGTGCTACCAAAAATCAAGATAGCAATAAGTACTGGGCAGATACTTTGAAACAAAGCATGCACTAAACGTTAAAAATAAACAGTGGTCAGCCTAATCGAGAGTAAAAACCTAAGTCAACGGTATGTTAAAAAATTAGTCTAGGCAATTTAGGTTCTTATTTCTTATTTTAAGTTAAATCAATGTAAGGGTTATGAACCAAGATGCATGCCCAGACAGAGCTCATTTATTTGCATTAAATTCTCTGCATCTTCATATGCATATTTCATTGTGGTCAAAGTTGTATGCAAGAATAATTGAAAAGCTCCCGGTAAAAGTACTAACTTGATGACAAAAAAATATAAATTGTCATAAACAAATATAAAGACAATAACAAGAAATAGATGTCAATAAGTATTGTGATATCTCCAATACCTTGCAGGAATTTCGAGATTGCCTGTGCCTTCAATCGGAGCACGGAATGAATAAGTTCACCGTTGGGAACGTTTCGAACAGCAAATGCGAGCAGGACTGTTTCGACGCCATGATGATCTTCGCTGGTGTGGTGTTCGTTATTCAAATTGTACTGGGCAGTTCACATGTTGGATCGACTATCGTCGGGCTAAGGTTTGAGCTTATGAGCTTATTTCTTTATTTCATTAAAACTCGATTTATTACCGTTGAAAGACAAAATTCGTTGAGACAGGAATTGAACTTTTGCAGTGAAAAAGGTTGAAAAAATTTTACACATTAAGAAGAGCTAAGGCTGATTGATTCGCTCATTCTTCCATTCACAAAACACGAGAAAAAACACAGCGTGATATTTGCAGTGAATCTCGGCTTAGTTCATGCTTATGTAGCATTCATCAGTATGCATGATGTTGATGGTAAATATGCAATGACGCAAGATACATATAAAATAGCATATTTTTCTTGTAAAAAAGATATGCCACGACAAAATAATCATACAGAATGGCATGCTTCATGACCTTAAAAAGTGAAGGAGAACGCATTTAAATATCAAACAAAACAAAAGAAACACGTGCTGACACACGTCAACATTTTCATATGCTAGAAATTGCATGCAAGATATATATAATATTTGAAAACAAATTAAGAATAAAGTACCACCAATACTGTGAAATATTGAGAAAACATTGATTATTTTGATGCGATTTGTTTTGAGAACCAAATTAATATCTTTCTTTATGTGTTCAAACTATTGTCACTGATTAAAAAGAACACAAGAAAAGAAATTACAGGTATTGATTGACTGACGGTTGTATAAAAAACTTAATTTTGGTGGGACCATTTGCAGCCCGCTAGTGAAGCTTTTTTTTTACGATTTAAATATCGCGGGACATTCGTGCACAGGAACACTCTTACTTTTCCATTTGGCAGTGATACTTCCCCTAAGGCTGTGTATTTATCTTTTTTTTCTGTTCACCAAGAACATCGTTGGCACTGATATTACCTTGGCATTGAATGTATGGTAGGCCCAATCTAGTGATACAAAAATTTGACTATATTTTAGAGCATGCTTAATTAGCCTTCTTCATACCTAACTGCCAATACCACGGATATACTAACATTTATCACACATATAATGCTGGATTTCTGAGATCTAACGCAAAAAGATATTTTTTTCTTTCTTTTGAAGGTGTATAGAACCACGAGACAAAAGCCTGTCTCTGCTCGTCACGTCGGCAATTATGAATGCATTTGGTGAGTTTCAAATTTCGATTGTCTTGCCTGCTGCAGAAGTTAGGAAAGGTAACTAGTATTGTGACAACAGTTTTGAACCAAAGATAATTGTGTTTATGTCCTAGTTTTCTTTTGAAATGTTATAAGGCATGAAAAGGTATAAAAACAAATAAACGCATACTTATGAAAATTCTCTGGTGAGGCACCTATACAATTCCACTTCATGCGACTGAACACGATTGCGTGATTTACAGTACATACAGATTCAAAACAATTGAGACAGAATGTGGCATCATGATGATAAAACTTGCAAAAAAGTCATGGTCGGTGCAACTGTTTTGTTACATTCACTCATAATGGAATAGTACGCACTATTTTATTATCAAAATAGATCATAAGAAAATGCGTCTTTTTTACGTTAGCTTATTACAGGATTGGCTTTTTGAGCTTAACTATCTAACGGTGGCGTTAACAACAGTGAAAATAACAAGGTAGTCGGTACTGAAAGAAACGCTTAACCCTTTAAGAGCATTAGCCTAAGCACACACAATCTCCCATGTGTGTAACTGTCAACTTAATGAGTTAGAATGAAGAATCACCCGTTTTACAAGAAACAGACGCACTAAAGAAAGTCGTAGAAAGGACGCCTCCGAAGACTTCTCCTTACTATAGGAGTGGTCTTCACGTCCTTGGCTTCGCGTCATTAAACTTCCACGCACTTCTAGACAGTCTCTCACAATTCGTAAAATTGCAAGAAGAAAACACCAAGATAGGCGAAAGGAAAGAACGTCACGAAATATCTATTGTCTGATCTGCGGCTTTATAAAGCTACGCCAGTTTTTTTATTGGCTAGCCAGTCTGTGTCAAGACTAGAGCAGTTCACATGCAGATCATCCCGCAAGAGGCGAATCCGTCGCAAAACGAAGTGACTTCCAAAGTCGGCATATATTCTTGGCGCATCCAAACGAAGCTTTCACACATGCGCACAAGGTTACCAGTTCAAGTGGTACAAATGAATTCTTGATTTGGTACGCCAGGTATCTTTCGCGACAAACTAGTGCAGGCAATAAGCGCGATTAGTAAGCAAATCTCAGACGTTTGCGTTTTGTAACTTCATGTATGCATCAAGTATAGCCAAAGAAGCAGCTTTACTGAACTATCATAATTCACAGTAGACGACATAGCTTAGGAAGCTGTTGTGCATTTAGTAATGCAGTTTCCAATTTTGTCTCGACAGCTTTCATTCCGTACCCGCTCATCTACGGTGCCCTGACGGACGCCTCGTGCATTGTCTGGGAGGACAGGTGCGGCGAGCATGGATCTTGCTGGCTCTACGATCTCAAGAAGCTCCGATTCCTCATACACGGCGTCACGATGGCGCTGCTGTTGGCCGGCTGCCTTTTCCAGGCAGTCATGGCTTACTACTGCACGCGCATCAAGAACTTCTACGAAGACGAAGCGGACGAAGACGTCGACAGTGGCGAGAAGGCCGGTGGAGACGGTGTACGCGCGCCCCTCAGGCTGTCCATTGGCGAAGGACCTGACGGCCACGTGACAGGTGGCGAGCACCGTCCAAGGACTCGGACAAAGAGCATCGATAGCTGGGAGTTTCAAAACTTCAATCAGGTCACTAACGTCACCAAGTGAATACTCACACACGGACTGTTGGAGTTCTGCTACGTCATCGCTCCACTCACTTCCTTCTTACCCAGCGTAGGGTAGTGAACCGGATTTTTTTCTGTTATCATCCCTACTTTCCTTTCGTAACATCTCCCTTGCACGAACTGGTTTCTGTTTTTTTTTTGTTTTTTTACTGATATCGCGTCTGCGTCACTGCTGTGTGCTGCTCGTGAACTGTGGTATATATAGACATCAATCATGAACATTGCGCGAACGTGACAACCGACCCTATTTTATTTGGAGATAGCGCTCTCTAAGGCATCTACCACCAACACTCTGTAATGGGGTATAGGATGCCGATTTATGACTTGAAATAAATGGCAAGAAATGTAAAAGAACTATACAAGCTCAGATTGCGCGCTTCCTGTTCAAAGTTCACTTTCTGCTTTCCCTTCTGTTCACTTAGCTCAGTATATGACCCGACAACGGCGAGAATACTAAAGAATGCAAGTCTGTTTTCGTTCTGTGTCAAATCAGTAATAGAGCTTTTTGGTAACCTTCAAGGAGGTAGCCTCAAGCCATACGTTGCGCGATGACCTTGCGCGCTAGACAAAGCTCTCTCGTAAACTTCAAGGAGGTGGCATCAAGTCATACGTTGCGCGATGAGCTTGCGCGCAAGATACAGCTCTCTGGTAAACTTCAAGGAGGTAGCCTCAAGTAATACGTTGCGCGATGAGCTTACGCGCAAGATACAGCTCTCTGGTAAACTTGAAGGAGGTAGCCTCAAGTAATACGTTGCGCGATGACCTTGCGCGCTAGACAGAGCTCTCTGGTAAACTTCAAGGAGGTAGCCTCAAGTCATACGTTGCGCGATGACCTTGCACGCAAGATAACCGGCGCCATAAGTGGGGCAAGAAACTACGTGACCTCTTCTAAGCGATGCACGTTGGAGAGAAAAGGCGGTCAGTTGTGAACGTATAGGCAGAAAAACGCGTAGCCGATGGCACCAATGACAGCATTTTTGCAACATTGTAAAGACGTCCAATATGTCTGAAAATAGCGATGTCATCGTGATGGCCCGCCACGATGCCATACGATGAAGGAATCGCATGAAATCGCCGCCTGGTCAAAGGTGGGACAATCCTGGAGGCTTACGAAGGGGGGGGGGGGAGTTCATTGCAGCGCCTTCCCCTCCTTAATAAGTCAATGAAGGCAGACTTTGAGTCTCCCCCCCCCCCCTTCCTCCCTTTGTTCACACGCCAGGACCTGTAGGTAGTGCAACACCATGTTAGGTGCAGAAATGTATAAGCTTAAGTAGAACCCGCTGTTGGTCTAGTTGGTGCATGTCTGAAATAAATAGTCAATTTCGCGCCAAAATCACAACCACACAAAAGAAGAAAACACATGCACAGGACGGGCACTCACTTGCAACTGTTTATTATTTGAGGGAACATGCTATTATAAAGCCACAACTCGTCAACGCATCCGCAACATGCTGGGGCCATGGTTAACCTAATCACGCTATCGGACTACAATATGCCTCCGACTCATACAGGATGAGTGAAGTTTCGCTAACACAATTAATCCCCCCTTCTTTATGTGACAGGCATCGAAAATTTCTTGTGTTCTCTTGTTTCTTCTTTCCATGATACGAATCTGCGTGAAGCATGGTGTGCATCCACCTGAAGAGACATGCGTGTTCAAATGCACACCGTCCTTATTCTTTTGCGTGAGAACGTGTCCCTTCGCTCGATCATCGACGCAGCGCCCCGGGTGGCCAACCTAGCTCTTTCCGCACGATAGGGGTATTTCGTAAACCACTCCAGTGGCGCACTTCGTGAACGGCCGCGCATGCTTCTTTTTGCAGCATTTCAGCTGTTGAACATGACTTCTATTGATGCGAGGGCGCAACTACGCCAGTTTGTTTCGGGAGGCGAAACACCAGCGGTACGCCATTTAAGTATGAGTGTTGTAGGGGTGGGGGATGGGGAGGAGGGGGAAGAATAGGAATAGTGCATTTGACTGAAAATGCTAAGGTAACTTGGCGTCTATATCTCACACTGCTGCTAGTTTGGCCCTGCATGAAGTTTGGCCCATGAATGTGTAACTTGCTGCGTTACCAACCATGTAGCAGGCTTGCGTATTCAAGCGTTGGAGCGTAACCTGCTGCCGAACTTTTTAAAGCGATAACCTTATACCCAGAAAAACATGGCATGTGACCATCGACGTCTAAATGAGCGATGAAACAACAGTCATCATGCGATGACGCCAGTTCATGACGTCGGAGGTGTGTATCGTTATGAAGGCGCCACTATTACGCTCGAATATACGACGTAGCATGATGACATCGCCACACAGCTTCACCCCTTGGTCAAAGGTGGGCCGGGCAGCTATTCTGGACGCTTCTAAAATGCCGTCAGGCTGTTATATTCCAAAATCGGTAAGCTCTGATTGGCCAAGAGGGCTACTACCTTGTCTCTATTTGCCTTAAATGTCCACTATCATGAAATATGACACTACGACAAAATTCGAAAATATCCACAAGACCCCCCCCCCCCCCTCTCCCGCAATCAGTGCGGAACTACGTCAGGTGCAGAAGGCTTCAAATGACTCCAACAACGGAGGCAGTAGAAAACCACGTTGCCTACAGAAAACTTTCGGAGCGTAAAAATCAACGCAATCCACCGAGAAGAAAAGAAGAAGAACCTGGAATCTGTGGCACACACCCACGCTGGGGCCAAGCGAAAAATTGCGAAAACGAAATACGAGTGGAGATGCCACCTTAAGATTCCCGCGTCAAACATCATGACGTCATAAATTCTGAAGGCATCTACTGGGCCTTGCGCAGCTTGTAATCGATAACATTGAAGTACATTGTCATCCGTGGGTGCCATAGACCAAGCATACGAAGTTTCAGAAAGTTTCAACGAGTGAACGTTGCGAAAATACGAAAAATGCATTTAAAATTGGTTACGCCACGCACGGAGATATCAGCGCAATATTTAACGATTAAATTTCAACCTCAATTTTCTCGACTAATAGGGAACTTATGATAGTGAGACTTATGGCATTAGAGTTGTCGGAGTGCAGTTTATCAATTCAAACCAAGTAATTGCTTCTCTTTAGTGTCCCTTAAAATAATCTCAGGTTGTATACTAAGGGCTTGCATGAACACCTGAAATATAGAAAGGACCATCAAATCCCCCTACTTCGTGCACGAGACGCATGACCTCATCGTGAGGATGACCGTATTAGAAAAAATTGCGTTACATTTCATATTCTTTGCTTAAATGGATGGACGGTTGGATGAACATACCGACCTAATTTGGTCATTTGGAACGCGCTTTAGCCCGTTGTGGGCCGCTGCCACGTCGGAACAGAAAGGCCAAGTCGCCCTGCTGCGTCGTAGGCCAGGTGGACTGCCCATAACCGGTGTTCGAGTCCGGAGCTTGTAATATCGCCCTCCCATTTGGTCGGCGTGATGACTTCCCCACAACGTAACGCGGGGCATCGCCAGAGCATATGTTCAAAGTAAGCTATATCGTCGCAGAAAGAACATGTATTAGTTGGCTGTATTTAGGGATAAATTTTGTTCAATAGCGTGGGCTTAGGGTACGCCCCTACCTGAAAAAGCATGAGTGTCAGAGCCTGAGGTCTGCTTAGTTTTCTGTGTGGTGGCGAGTATTGTCTCCGCGCCAGGTAAAAATAATTCGTTACTTCGTTATACGAAAATATTTTGTTAGCTCGTTATACGAGATGGGAAGGTCACAATTCTCTAAAAAATCAGCGCCACGCCCGCTGATAGCTGCGTGGTTTACTATTCCTGACATGCAATAACTGTGCACCCAAATTGAAGTAAAGCAACTTCATCATCATCAAGCAGTCGATGTGAACACGAAGGTGACAATAATCCGAGGAGCATCATCATCATTATCACCAAATAACAGTTGGAAAACGTGAAAAAAGAAGACGCCATCCACGGCAAAATGGTCGGTTCCCACCTCGTTATTGCTGCTGCCGGGTTGGTCCTGCTGGCGCCTTGGCAGCCACCCTTTCCGCACATGAACGTCATCAGGTGAGAACACTGAACGAGAGTTACACCACATTTCGCTACAATGAAAAAGAAGGTCGCGTAAAAAACGATGTCTTTTTGTCCAACAACAATAACCATCATCTGGCTTGCTTTCGCTTCCTTTGTTGTAAAATCAGCGTTGGCCACTTTCCTATTAAGAATGCTATATATGTGACTCTGATAATAAGCATGTCGTGCGTAACCTGAGAGGGCCGGTGCACGTGATGATAGTGCAAGGAAAAGAACGCAAGACTGATTACTATTATTATTGTGCGACAAAATGATACCACTTTTACTCGGTCTTTTCTTTGAGTGACATTTTCATGTAGCAAGTTGTTCGGTAATGCGTTTATGGGTGAACTGGACAGGCTATGACGAGGCTGTCAACACCAGTACTCTAGACACCAGGCAGTTGTACGTCCGAAGCGGCTGCGTGGAAGCAGGTTGGAAATGGAAATTACTGGTAACCTGTGGACAGGGAGCATGTACGGACGTCCAACTTAAACTGCTTACAGTCTACTATTTTCCATGCAGTATCATAAAATGTTAAAGTCACAGATGTCAACGCCATATAGTGTTAACGCAGCTATATGGCAGCAAGTACTGTGCTCACGTGCGATGTTAACGAAATGTCACCGTAGCGTTTTCCACTGCGACGGGGGCGCCGACAAAGAATGAAAGAGCGGGAGTGTTAAATAACCTGCGAACTTGTTAGCTGCAAAAGCAACAACAGAGATGGCTCGGTGAAGTGTCGCCCGCTTTGCGGAATCGGTCCTGGTGCTGCAAGCATGAAGTAGCATGCATTACACATGCTAGAGTTATAGAGTCTCGACAATAATTGACGGAGCAATTATTCAACATGTATTTCTTATCAAGATAGTTCCTACGTAGGAAGGAACAGGAGGAAAATGAAAGTCAGGGATGTTAACCAGTCTAAGAGGAGTGGTATGCTATCCTACATAGTGGAAAGCGGTGGAAGAACTTTGAAATAGAGAATGAGAGAGAG